CCAAGCTAAGCTTATTAAAATAAACACAACTAACAAAAAATACATTTTCCAATAACGGATCCATCACGAAATGTTGAGCATGAGAAAAATTTTTGACTCTTTAAATCCGTTTATCTAAATCTCAAGTGACATTTAATTTCAATTAGTCATAGTGTCGGAGTCACGCGTAGTAGCGGCATTTGCTTTTTTCCACCTCACCAAATGCCAGAAGTGGATTACGTACACGTTGATTCCTATGAGAATATGTCGTAGGAAAGTTTCAAACAAGGGTTACCGGTCACTTTTGTTTTTTTTTTATTGCCCTTGTAGGCAGACGAGCACACGGCCCAGCTGATGGTGAGTGGTTACCGTCGCCCATGGAGTTCAGCAATGCCAGTGGCAGAGCCAAGTCGCTGGCTACCGCTTAATACTCTTCACAAGCCTCTTTTGAAGAAGGATATGCCATAGCGCTCGGGAAACACCGTGGAGGGGAGCTCATTCCATAGCCGGAATGAGCTAATGAGCATTATTATTTTGTAATACGAAAAATGGAATAAGAAACTCCAATTATAGTTCCGAACAGCACAAATTTCATGCATTTTTCATTTTTGTTTTATTTAACACGTGATGTTTCAAATAAAACTCTTTAGAATGAATCCCTTTTAAATAAAACGAATTTTTGCTCCCAACCGGACACGACTGTCAATCGAATAGTATATAGTAATTAAATCACTGTAAACTATTAACATTTATATGTCGCATTCTCGTTTCGTTTGATTGTATCCGAATTGTATTCTTAGCTAGCTGTGCCCGCGATTTCGTCCGCTTGGAAATTAACAATAATTATATTAATTTATAATATTTTACAATATTTTGCATTTTTTCTAAAATTATTCTACAATTATAATTCAAATTCAAATTCAAAATCATTTATTTCCACTTAGATGTCAGTATGACACACTTGTTGAATTTCAAAATATAAATAACAATGTTAACTCTACTACCTGTTCCAAAAAAAGCCACAGTCCTGAGAAGAACCGGCGAAAAAAACTCACCGGGCTTTTTTTGTTTTTTTCTCAAATATTTACTTTTTTTTAAAATAAATAAAAATATTTACAATAAAGGAAAAAACAAGTCAAAAAATACAATTAAAAAATAATAATAATGAAAAATGAAAAAGCCAGGAGCGAACGCCTCATTCCCACGTAGTGCCATCTAGTAAACAATCCTTAACTTTATAATATGCCTTGTTGCACAAACGTTCCTTGACAGTTTTCTTAAATCTATGAACAGGTAGTAATTGAAGCATAAGTAGAGTAAGAAGTTAGCAGCTTAAGTTACTCCTTAGGTCCAGAGATTAACCGGAACAAACAAACAGACAGACAAAAACTGTAAAAAATGTTATTTTGGTATATGTACATAATATGTTTATAGTAAAAAGCGGCTACAAACAGACATTTCAATTTTATTTATTTGTATAGATGATTTGTTCATGTATCTACTGTATTACTATAAATTTTGTCTCTTACCAGTGAACTTTAAATGTTGAATCTCGCACAGTCTCTATCGAAGTATCTTAGAATACGACATCCGCACCCGGATCCTCCTCACAATTTAAATTGCGTGAATTAGGTATGCGAGATTATGTTTGTATACTTCTTCGTAGCTTCTAAATATGATTTTTTGTTCGTACATCTGTTCTTCGATTAATTGTCGTCATCCTTGTTCCTGGTATTCATTATATTTCGTACGATTGCTTTATTTACTTTGGTATTACGTAGTATAATTTTATTAAAACTCAATAGACACTCGTTAAAGTATCAAAAACGTTTTTATGATCGTTTCTGTTCATTGTTGTCGGCAATTCAATAGATTTCAAACGTTTTTACGTAATAATTTTCCTGTGTCGTATTCACAACGTTATTATAAACTTGTTCAAAAAAAAAACTAGATTTGAACAATGATAACACATTAAAATATTGAGCGTGTCAATCATAAGATTACGGCTTTATATCATGATTTTTCCTCTTATAGCTTTAAGTAGGAAAACAAATATTTAAAAATAGATTATAGTTTTTATAACATTACGCGGACTGAGAGGTTCTTAGTCAAATTAATATTAAGCTGCGATAGAATAGTCAATTCTTTTAAAATCACGGCTACCCTATTAGTAGATATGAATGTAAGACGTGGTCCCCACTTTATTTTTATTTTTTATTGCTTAGATGGGTGGACGAGCTCACAGCCCACCTGGTGTTAAGTGGTCACTGGAGCCCATGGACATCTACAACGTAAATGCGCCACCCACCTTGAGATATAAGTTCTAAGATCTCAGTATAGTTACAACGGCTGCCCCACCCTTCAAATCGAAACGCATTACTGCTTCACGGCAAAAATAGGCAAGCATAGCAATAGCATCCCGTATAGACTAGGAACAATGGCATATAAACCAACAAAAATTGAAACTAAACCCATATGCATTCATGATAGCAACTAGTCATCGATAATCATCTCGATCCCCAAAGGAAGTCACACCCAGTTTTCTTCGAATCATAAATCCGATTAGAACTTTCATCGAAGTCCGAGGTTCCGTTGACTGAGTCCAAAAACCCATTATGTACATTATGGGAGCCCATTGTCTCGACCGAATGAGCCGGCACAATATCTTACGAAATTTCCTAAAATCAACTCTTATAAATGTTTTATTATGTACGGAATTATCTGATGCGGCATCAAGGTTCGTCCATTGTCTTTTTGTTTTTCTTCATTATCGTACACTTTGTGTTTTAAAATTGTATATTTTACCTTTGTGGGTAATTTAAGTGGAATCGTATCGAAAACAAACGAATAGTGAGGTGTTGTATTTTATTTTTCATCTCCCACACAAATTTTGTTAATATTCATATATCCTAAATCTGTAGGTACCTACATATTGAAGAAGACCTTGTATTTGGATTGGCCAATCGCAGAAGCTTCTATTTTTGTCTTTAAACTATCTATTAGTTCTTGTCGTTCATAATCCAAATTCAAAAGCCTATGAGTGAAATCGTGGAGCAAGCTAAGCGGTATAGACAGGTGTTTGAACAGACCCCTGCGGGCCCAACGATCGAATGTATAGTGGGTACATATCACAGAACATAAGGTATTTGAGAGATACCTGCCTAACGACATGTTCAGGATTAGTTTGGATATATAGAAACTAGCTTTTGCCCACGACTCCGTCCGCGTGCAATAGTCACTTTGGCATAACGCTAAATTTTACCCCCACTTCATTTACGTAGAAAGTGAAAATATTTTTTAATTATAGAATGTTAAGGAGCTATTTAAACCCCTATTTTGAAACATTCTTTATTGGTGCTCCACTTGTATTGGTCTTACCGTGATGTTATATAACCTATAGGCTTCCTCAATAAATGGGTTATCTTACACTAAAATAGTTCTTCAAATCGGACCAGTAGTTCCTGAGATTAGCGCGTTCAAACAAACAAACTCTTCAGCTTAATAATATTAGTATAGACTCCAAACAACAACATGCGATCTGTCGGTTTATTAAACAGTTGCATTCGTTCAGTGAAAAATCGCCCCTTTACCGTAACCCCCAAAATATTGAACAATAAATACAAAATAAGGCACCGGAACATTATGAAACAATGAATTCTAATACCTCATGATTTTCCCGCACTCTTTACCAACAGAGTTGCGTATCAAAAAAAAAATTTACAACATCTATTTATTTGCCGTTTACTCACGAACAAGCCATTCCACAGTTTCTGTATCTGTCTTAAATCAATCTACATCTCGGTTTGGTGCACTTATCTCGGAATATCTCGCAATTTAGACGCAATAAACACGATTCCGAAAAATTATTGACTTATAACAATACGTTCCACATTTGCACTATCAGAAAAATCGTGATCCATTAAATATTTTAAGCTTGTAGCGTACAAAACAAGTGATTTCTCTACCTCATTAATAATAACTTGGTTCGTACGAGCCTCTCCTATTATTATATCCGCGAGTATCACAGCACGGCTTACGTAATTCGAAATTATCGTCCCATATGTTAACATCCATTGTGCTACGAACTCTAATCTACATAAGTATAGGTATTAATTCGTCTTTCACAAAACGTTTCGGTAAAAAATACCACTCCGAGTAGGTGTTTCGTCATGTCAAAAGTTTAATCTGTCGAAAACGGTACACTGCGATCCGTATTTTTCAATACAATGCCTTGTATGTACAGCGCTTGTACATGTGTTTGTATCTAGATCGGGTACTGGCGGGCAAAGAATTTTTTTTGTGAATTTCAATAAACATATTTCATAGTCTGTATATTTTTGAGTAATTCCGAAATGTGTGGTCTGTGCTTAGTGTAATTATGGTAATGATAGCGCATCTACAGTTGTATCTTCGGGATGGCGTCATCTTGTACATAATTCAATGAACAATTTTCTGAGAACGCTATTTATATAAAGGAACACGAAAAGCAATTTCTGTTTAAGCGAACACATTCGTTCCTATTTAAGCGATACGATCTTAAAGCACGCTTAAAAAAAAAAGCGTTCACACAAAAACACTTTCGTGATGTAATGTACATAGACGCAGAGTCAACGATCACTCACAATAGAGCGCTCCACAGTGACTCGGAGAAAACATTGATTAATTACCATAATAATTTATTTGATACTCCAAAACTTGATACTGGGAGGGGCCGCTTACACAACCCGAAAGACGTTTAAGTTCTTTTTGAACTAAAAACGGTTAACGATGGAGCTGGTAACGCGAGCGCGGCTAACTCCAAATCTTAGAGGCTCGAATAATTTCCAACGACGAAAACAGTATATTGTTCGTCGGAATATGATGCATGGAGGTGATTTGGCTGTTCCAAACAAAAGAATAAGTTTACGGAAAAGGGAATGGGATGAATGTATCGTTAGTTCTGATTGTTTCGTTGTATTAGCATATTATTATTTTTTTGTAATATCAATTGTACGTTTGTGTTTTTTTGTTTGTTTGTTGAGGTCTTTTAAGCGCGCTGAATCATTTGGACCAAGCCCGAAAGAACTCTTTGCAGACGACCGTAGATTACTCTAGATACGTTAAGAGGTATGTTCGTTTTTTTTTTGTATTCGATATAAATTTGTTACGATATTAAGCGGCTATATAGTTTTTGCGGCATCATTAATATTAGAAAATCGCCGGCTACTTTATACAGATATAATGAGATAGTTTTAATTGTGATGCCTTATCTTGTGCCGTCATGAACACTTCAATTAGTCTATTTCATTAAATTACGCTCTTCATCTGCGTTTTCTGTTCTGTGTTTATTACTTTAATTATTATAGCGTCAGATTGAGGAGTTTTTGAAACGAATGTTCAAATCACTAGGTATGGATCAACATTGGAATGCGGCTCATCGTATTGCAAAGATCTCGGTTACCGAGAGCATTTCCATTGCATGGACTGCACTGCTCGGGTTTTCTGCAAGAAAGAAGAGATGATACGGCATTTTAAGGTACCGTTCTTTTAAAACTTTGAATTCGGGTTTAATATTTTATTTATTTATTGCTTAGATGGGTGGAGGAGCCCATAGACATCTACAACGTAAATGCGCCACCCGCCTTGAGATATAAGTTCTAAAGTCTCAAGTATAGTTACAACGGCTGCCCCACCCGTTCAAACCGAAACGCATTACTGCTTCACGGCAGAAATAGGCAGGGTGGTGGTACCCACCCGCGCGCACTCACAAGAGGTCCTATCACCAGTAATAATCGTAAAAGTAAGTTTTAATCAAAATGCAACTTTTTTGTCGCCGAGAATAGGGACTCTATACGAAGTACTATTTGACCTATTAACAGCAAATTGTCTCCATTTAAAGACGTAAACTGACACACTGTATTACCAAACACTATCTATCTACTCATCTGCTTCTGGTTCTTGTTTGAAAATCTTCAGCATCGTTTAATTAATTCCTTCCTTGTCTGTTCGCAGTGGCACAAGAAACGTGACGAATCTTTAGCGCACGGATTCATGAGGTATTCCCCGCTGGACGATTGCTCGGAACGGTTCGCCGATTGTCCACACAACAGAAGTCAAACGCATTACCATTGCATACAAGACGGCTGTGATAAGGTAAGTTATTGAGAATTAGATCAGATTTCGATGACGCTTTGGTTAAACCATAGGTACGTATATATTTTTAAGGGATTTTATGACCTGGTAACTAAGACCTTTAGGTCATGTCTTATTTTAATTTATATTCTTATTTTTATGAAAAATGATAACATAAAGTGAAATGAAATGATTAGTTTCAGACATTAATCAACTGGGATGAAATTAAATGAAATGAGATGAGATGATATGGGATGAATATAATCCCAATAAAATGGTGGTCATTTACCTACTGAAACTTTTTCAGTGGACTTTTTGTTGGATCCTGAGAAGTTACGTCCAGCAGCTTTGTTTCATTTTCCCACATATGTGCAATTTCACAGATACAAAAGTCACAGATAATAAACCACCGTTATTACACATTTAAACTCGAAGAAACACTAAATAGACGAAATAAAACAAATCACACAACTTCATTCCTCGCGTTCCCGCCAAAAAGTCCGCTTAAACCATATAAGACGTTGAAGGAATGAAACTTAGTTGCGTGCCATCGTCGATTACAACGAAGAATTCGGTGTATGAACTAGTTCATAGGCAGATCTCACTGAATTTCTCGCCGAATCTTCTCAGGGGGTCGCAATTCCGGTAGTAGACTTAGCGAAGCACTGTTCTTGCTAGGATCAGTGTTCGCAATTCTCTCAAGTTGAACCTGCGGGCTACTTATTTCTGCCGTGAAGCAGTAATGCGTTTCGGTTTGAAGGGTGGGGTAGCCGTAAAAAAAATCCTCTATCGATCTGAGAATAGTTAAAGAAACCCATTAAGCTTCCAACTTCCTTTAACGGCCGTCTGGTGTAGTGGTAAGTGACATGGTCACTACACAAGGGGGTCGCGGGGTCGAATCCCGCCAAGGGAAGATATTTGTATGATAAATATAAATGTATTTTCCAGGGTTATGGATGTATATTAAATATATGTATGTGTATAATAAAAATCTTACATTTATATTCGTTATCTGGTACCTGAAACACAAATTCTTTACGAACTTATCACGGGACCAGTTAACGTGGCGTGTAAAAAAAAAAAGAAAAAAGAATGATTAGGTTAGGGAAAAAAGTTGAGTTTTGGTTAATTTTAGTGTGACCGATTCAGTATTGAAATTAAAATCCCATCAGTATTGATAAATTGGTTATCATAGTAGCCCTAACAGAAAAGCTTCCAGAAAACCACAAAGAAAAGCAGAAAAGATTGTACTCTTCTACCCACTTACGTAAGGCTCTCCCTCTTTAAGAACGGCTAACTGGTAGAGAACTCAATTGTTGAGCTAAGCCCGCCATTTTATAACTTTTCGCAATTATTGTATTGTATTAACTGTGTGTACAATAAAGAATAAAGAAGCTTCTGGAATAAGCGCATACAAAACTTACTTCTAGGTGTACATCTCGACGTCAGACGTGCAGATGCATGCGAACTACCACAGAAAGGACACTGCGATCCTCCAGGAAGGCTTCCAGAGGTTCAGAGCAACCGAGAGCTGCACGGCCTCTCACTGCATCTTCGCCGGGCAAAGGACTACACATTTCCACTGCAGGAGACCTGGATGCACTTACACTTTCAAGAACAAAGCGGATATGGGTGAGCAAACACTTTTTATTTATTTATTTAAGGATTACCAACAGGGCTTATAGTAAGACATAAAATAACATTGTCATGTATATAGCAACTGATAAGTGCAACTCTAATTATTAGTAGGTACCACCACCCTGCTTATTTCTGCCGTGAAGCAGTAATGCGTTTCGGTTTGAAGGGCGGGGCAGCCGTTGTAACTATACTGAGACCTTAGAACTCATATCTCAAGGAGGGTGGCGCATTTACGTTGTAGATGTCTATGGGCTCTGGTAACCACTTAACACCAGGTGGGCTGTGAGCTCGTCCACGTACTTAAGCAATAAAAAAAAAAACAAAATGTGTGCAATTCACACGTGGTAGAAGTGAAACCTTCCAAAATTAAAATACAATTATCCTAAACGTCTTAAGTATATGTAAAATTTTGTCATTAGTAAATAATTGTAAGGTAAGGTGTAATTGTAAGCGCCCTCTGTGAATTGATATTTTAATTTCACGTATAATCCTAAATTAAAATTCACTACAAGAGCTTTCATACACACGTTAGTATTAAAAAATCTCACAGATGGCGCTGTATTAAATAGTATGTATATTTCTGTCTCATTCTTTGCTGGCTTCATCCTACACATTTTTGTATTTGTGTCTCTTACCTGTCGTTTTTTCCGTTGCATCCGGTTTGAAATCACAACGATTCTAAAGAAGTTTTCACTTCAAAAAAAATGCCTTAAGCGCATTAAGAAAGAACAGAGAAATGACGATAAAACAGCGTCCCTGATTTTCAACGCAGAGAAACACAAGACGTATCACATCAAAGACGAGGCTCTGTCCAAAGACGGCTTCAAGAAGTACATGAAGAACGAGGCGTGTCCGTACCGGGACTGCCGGTTCAGCCGGACCTGCAACCACATACACTGCATCCGCCCGCACTGCAACTACGTCCTGCATTCCAGCAGCCAGATCTTCACACACAAGAGGAAACACGAGAGGAAGGAACAAGAAATGAGCTTCGGGTGAGTTTCTTACAATGCGGCCAGTAATTGCTTTACAGGTCTTCTTCGTGCTTCATGGTGGGTTCAAATCTATCTACTCTACTAATATTATAAAGAGGAAACATTTGTTTGTTTGTTTGTATTGAATAGGCTCCGAAAATACTGAACCGATTTGAAAAACTCATTCACTGTTTGGAAGCTACGCTATCCCCGAGTGACATAGGCTGTATTATTTTTTAACAAAAATTAGAGATTCTTACTAAAACTCCAATAATGTAACCCAAGGTGTAAAAAAATTACCTAAATTTTTTGTTAAAGACCCGAGCGAAGCCTGAGCGGGCCGCTCGTCTATATATATAAAAATGAGTTGCTGTTCGTTAGTCTCGCTAAAACTCGAGAACGGCTGGACCGATTTAGTTGATTTTGGTCTTGAATTATTTGTGGAAGTTTATTATATTTTGTATGGCAGAGTAAGATCAGACAAAGATAAGTTAGGATATGTATGCTATTCATTTATTATTACATACTGTAAACTTGCTGAACACTGATTTGTAAGGTTCTTATACAATATACTCATACAATAGTATAATGCAATTGTATTGGTTGACGAGGCTATGTGCGACTGTCTTTATTTTGTAATGACTCGATACATTTGCAACCTTACTAAATTTTTAGGCAGATTAGCTCTGCTTCTGGCATTGCTAATGTCCATGGGCGACAGTAACCACCAACCATCAGGTGGTTCGTATGATCGTTTGCCTACAAGGGCAATAAAAAAATTATAAGCTAACTTCAGCCGGCACACTCTTGTATCTAAGTGAGTAGGATTCGCAATTTTCTGCACTGCACCAAGTTCATCTCCCTCAGACTGCCGACGTCGGTCATCCAATCGGCTTTGATGCAGCAAGGAGCTGACCTCAGCCTGTACTCCCCCGGGAACCTGCACATCGACGATGATATCTCAAATCAGATTATGGACTCTGATTACTCGCTTCCTTTCGTAAGTCTCACGATACACTGCACATTTGAAGGTCCACAACAAATACTGGACACCGGTGGTAGGACCTCTTGTGAGTCCGCACGGATAGGTACCCAGCCTATTTTTGCCGTGAAGCAGTAATGCGTTTCGGTTTGAAGGGTGGGGCAGCCGTTGTAACTATACTTGAGACCTTAGAACTTATATCTCGAGGTGGGTGGCGCATTTACGTTGTGGATGTCTATGGGCTCCAGTGACGACATGACACCAGGTGGGCTTTGAGCTTGTCCACACATCTAAGCAACAAAAAAAATCTTTTTTAACTTCATTGACCTCAAAAATCGAACTCCAACCTATGATGGTGTGGCCACTTGCCTTTCCTTTCCTAAGCATTCCGTATTCAAAGAACATCGCTAAGCAGTAAGCACTCTATTTTTAAAAACCTCTTGTGAGTCCGCGTGGATACCACCACCTCCACCACCACCACTCTGCCCATTTCTGCCGCGAAACTGTAATGCATTTCGATTTGCAGAGTGAGGCAGCCATTGTAACTATACTGAGACCTTAAAACTTATATCTCAAGGTGGGTGGCGGTATTTACGTTGTAGATGTCTATGGGCTCCGGTAACCATTTAACACCAGGTAGGCTGTGAACTCGCTCACCCACCTAAGCAAAAAAATTAAAATAATACATATGATTTTTAATTACCGCTATATTTTAGTGAATTTTCAACAGAACCCCGCAATAGTCGAGGAGGTATCGAGGAAGTTCATTGAGACGTTCACCGGGGGCAAGGATGCTGACGATAAGTGCACCAAGTGTAGCGCCTTCAACAAGCACTACCATTGCGCGGCGGACGGATGCAAGATGGCGCACAGGTCAGACTACCTTCATTTTTGTTTTTTTTTTAGATATGTTGTGGATATGCCCTGAAGCAGCGCTCAGAAAGTCAGAAAATATTTATGGATAATATAATTCTTTGTAACGTATAATCAATATTTGGTATAATTTATATATAATCTTGTAACATTCCATTCACATGACATCATTTAAAAGTTATATTTTACTATATTTAAGGGAACTCCCGCAAAAAAAATATTTTTTCTGCGTTCCTCCACCTTTTTTAGGAAATTTTATTAGCCTGCAAAGGTGTGTTTGGACAGCCCTGGCCTAAAGGATACGATGCTCGTATTGAGCGAAGCGATTATACCAAATACGTACTTATTAGTTCACGAATGACTTTCACGTTTGATGGATAATATTGTTTGCGAAATAATCGGTAACCGCTTAACAAAAAATGCTCGGAATTAAATAAAAATATCAATTTTGTTTTTCCTTTGACGTGTCCCTCGTCGGACGGATTCCTTTTGTTTGTTTTAAGCTTATTTTATACAAACGTTTAGGTCTTTTATTTATCGATTGAGGTACTACGAAGTCTGTCGGGACAGCTAGTAGTTAATAAAATAAAGCAAATCACACAATTTCGCTCTTTAAGTTTCCACCAATAAGTCTCAGCATATGCGCTAAAGTCCGCTCCTCCCTTGATCAGTTGTCACACGACGATGGTGAAGCACGCAATGGAACACGAACAACAGAACCAGGTGACCGAGGCGTACTTCGTGATGTACTCGAGGGGCAGTCCGTGCGGGAACTCGGCCTGTCAGCACATCCGGGACATCACGCACTACCACTGCACTTGGGTGAGCTATTGAATTTGTCGACTACCCACCGCCTGCGTCCATTACGTGTGGCCTCGCGTAGGTGGAGACCCTTTGAAGGCTTAAACTGTATCCTTACGGAATCTCGTCCAAGTCTGTTCAATGATTTGGACGCGAAACAATATACTATTTTTAACCAAAATCAATACAGTCAATCATACATTAAACATGTGAAAGCTTTAAACCACTAGTCTACTAGTCCAGAATAACATAAATCGTGAAGTTTAAGACATTTGGTTAATGGCTATTGTCTTCTCTGCTTTTAATGGCATGTTTGTTCGTTCGTCATGTATGGATCGTGCATCGTTTGTCCGATTGAGTTGAAGCTTTTTACAGTTTCATAATCGCTCATTCTTGGAACATTTTCAGCACAACGCTAAACACTCTAACCATAAATCGTTTCAGGTAATACCAGTACATACCAACATTTCACCAAATTACCGGCCACGTGGATTACTGTCACAATTCACGCTGACTAGATTTTATGAGTATCTCTATAAATAAATACAGATCTTCATAGATTACCAATTCCCTATATGAGATATCTTAAAGTAATTGATAGTAAGTTAATCCGACCGACAACGAAGCATGATCTAGTCAAATTTTAAATAGCTCCAATATGCTTCAACAGGAAAATTGCGGTGCAGTAATCTTGTCGTCCGAAGAGCATCCATTCAGAAGACTAGAACACCACCGTCAGCATGCGATTCTCAGCCCAATGTCCCCTAATTTAGCGGCTAGATTCGCTCCTAACTTTACACCTCAACTAACTGCTCAACTACACCCGAACATGGCTGCGCAGCTCGGACAAGTTCCAAGTTTGCCAAATCTCCCTCCGAACTTGGCTCAATTGGCCCAAATGGCGCCGAGCCTTGGACCGCAGCTGACACCAAACCTGCAGGCGCAACTTAACCTTGGGCCCAATCCCGGAGTAGTGCCTCAGCAAGTCAATCCCTCAAGTTCCCTGGACGAAATGTTTAGTAGGAAGCGAGGAAGGCCGCCGAAGAATAGAGTCGTCGAAGTCTGGACTGACAATGTAAGGAACTAATTCATAAAAACATTATCAGAGATACATAGTTAAGACACAAAATCGAACCTCACATTAAGAACAACCAACAATAACATAAAAATCGATTTCGATGTCATGTAAAATCTATGATTCCCTAATATTTTTAGATCACGCCTCAAGCGATATTCACGTCATTCAAGCTCCCTAAAAGCAATCAGATGCCTTCGGTTATACCGTCGCCCATCATCGCCACGGTCGAAGAATTTCCGGTAAGTATGATCAAAGTCATTTTGATGAACACTCTGCTTATCCTCATTGAGTGGTACGGACATTTGATATTGACTATCTCAATTATTAAGCTATAGTAATACCGACCCAATACCTAGTACCCATATTGCAATAGATGTGCTTTGTAAAACAGATTCAAAAGAGATTTAAAAATCGAGCCACAGTTCATACAATAAGTTCGAATCCTGTATTTAAAAATACTGATTTTATTGTGAGGGAGAGAGGGAGGGAGCCAGAGAGATGGTAAGATATTTTCTCGAGCAAGAAATATTATAAACTTAATAACTTTTTGGATTGAACTTTCAACTTCACAAACGAACCTTAGCGGTCATTACAAATATCGTGTAATCGATTTTAACCTCAAACCTTCGTTTCCATTTCTAGCGCATCAAATTCCACCACTTCGAGGTGTTCACGAATTTGGACGGCTGCAGCCAATATTACCCTAACTGTCAACTGAGAATGACCAGGATCCACTTGCATTGTTTCAACTGCAGCTTCTCTGGCGAAACCTACTCCATCATGGAGACGCACATGAGAGAATCTCACTCGATCTCCCCCCTAATTGATGGATTCGATCACTTTCCCTCGTTTGACCATTGCGGTGGGAAAAGCTGCTTCAAGAACCAGTTGCGGTCCCATTTCCATTGCGCCCAAGGGAACAATTGCCCAGCTATCATAACCCAGTACTCCGTGCTGGCAACGCATAAGCACGGACGCGGCACTCCTGTGATCAAGAGTGAATCCGAACAAGATAAATCTTTCGAAGAAGCCAGAGATTATTCTTTAAAAGAGAGAGCGTCAGTGGACAGTGTAGGTTCGACGAAAGAGGCCGATATATACGCAGCAACGAATTTCACAATCAAAAGCGAATTCGAAAGGGAACAAGATAACGTTTCTGGTGAGTGTTACTTCGTGAAAAATTTACAGCACATAAATTCAATGTTTGGCAAGTTTATTTGGGTAAATGATGTATTTGAATTGTTAGTTTTGTCAAATCAATCGATTGATTCATTGCCTTATGGTAGGATCTCTACTGAGTCTGCTCGTGTAGGTACCACCACCCTGCCTATTTCTGCCGTGAAGCAGTAATGACGTTTCGGTTTGAAGGGTGGGGCAGTCGTTGTATCTATATACCTTAGAACTCTTATCTCAAGGTAGGTGACGGCATTTACCTTGTAGATGTCTATGGACTCCAGTAATCAGGTGGGCTGTGAGCTCGTCCACCCAGCTAAGCAATAAAAAAATAAAAAACTTACTCAAAGATGAGTAGAGGTCGCAGCGACATAACTAATCATAATATAAATATTTATTCCAGTAGTAAAAGCGACGGGCACGTTTTACCCGTCGTCACATTTAAGAAGCAACGCTTCCTCTCCATCCCCGAGGAGCATCTACGATGCGTCTCCATCGAAAGACCTCAAGCCTCGCGTAGACTTTGAGAAGAAGGCCTTCGAGCCTCACAAGAGTACCGGGCCGACCATACCACCCTCGTGCCACGACCAGACCTGTCCTTTGAACAAGTCTGCTGGAGGGATGAACCTCCACTATCACTGTCCTCATTGTAGTCAGGCGTACGTGGATCTGAAGCTACTGTTCAGTCATATGATGAAGAAGCACAGTAACAACGAGTCAGCACCCGCCGGATTAGCAGCCACCAAGGTAGGACGTCCACAACCAAAGTAAATAGGTTCAAATTTATCGGACATACTTTTTTGTTAGAAAAGCAGTAAAATCTAAACTTCTACGATTCTTCTAAGATTTAATTGGTAATCAATAATTTCATAAATATAAAAATGAATTAGGTACTGTTCGTTAGCCTCGCTAAAACTCGAGAACGGCTAGACCGATTTGGCTAATTTTGGTCTTGAATTATTTGTGGAGGTCCAGAGAAGGTTTAAAAGGTAGATGAAATGAAAATACTCAGAATTAAATAAAAAAACAATTTTGTTTTTCCTTTGATGTGTCCCCCGTCGGACGGATTCCTTTTGTTTGTTTTAAGTTTATTTTATACAAAAGTTTAGGTCTTTTATTTATCGATTGAGGCACTACGAAGTCTGCCGGGTCACCTAGTATTTCATAAATTTATTGTTACTAGTGGTCCCCCGTTAGTCCAAATTCGACTTTAATTAATTGAAATTATAAGTTACGATTCTATTGTCGAAGACTATTTATTATACTCCTATAATCACAGATTTCGCCAAGACTACACTTTAGATAAATTTATTAATAAAGACAAACAATATTTAATCTGTTCACAATTTGATCACAGACTTTAAGCAATAAGAAAAGTTTGACAATAAGCAAATAGTATGCAAGCATGTGTGTGTGTCAAATACATGGTAGTGTGTCTAATGTTTTTATTTATTTATTGATTTAATGTATTTTTTATGCATAATTAAAAAAATATATTATCATTCTGCACTCCTTCTCTATATTCTGTATAAGTGTGGGAAATTTCATACTAGTCCGTCCGCGCAATTTTCGTAAAAAGTGGTACAAAATTTTTGCTTCACGTATTAATTTATAGATATACCTTACCAGTTTCTTACTGTAGTTTTATTAATGTTTTACTCAGGAGACGTTGGAGAGGGAGTATCCTGAAATATCGATTCTGCCCTCGACGGCTTCTTCATCAGCAAGCCAGGCCCCTTCACCCAGCCAGAGACAACCCAACCCTGCTGATCAGGTAGCTGCCGACCAATATTGTATTGCTGCTATTGCCAGGATTGCACCACCTCTCGACCCAACTAATACTCAAACGTTACCTTGAAAGGCATTTTTGTGGCAGTTCACGTGAAGTTGCACCTCACAGCAGAAATGGTGGTACCTACCCGTGCAGCCTCATAAGACATCCCACCACCAATAATGGCAATAATAGTAAACCCATTTTATTTCCAAACAGCGTGGGTATGGACATGTGATGAGTAGAGAGGAGATGCATGTGACTAGAAGATGTATGGAAATGGTAGTGTAAGGTAGAGGGGGAAGAGGTCGACCGAAGAAGACATGGATGGAGTGTGTGAATGACGATATGAGAGAGAGAGGAGTGAGTGTTCAGATGACGGCTGATAGAAGAGAATGGAATAGAAAAATTCAGATATAAGCCTCGTCCAGCTTACTCAATTTTTCCATATTTTGGCTTTGCTTCTCCATTTTTTACTAGTGATAGGACCTCTTGTGACTCCGCGCGGGTAGGTACCACCACCCTGCCTATTTCTGCCGTGAGCGGTGATGCGTTTCAGTTTGAAGGGTGGGGCAGCCGTCGTAACTATACTTGAGACCTTAGAACTTATATCTCAAGGTGGGTGGTGCATTTATGTTGTAGATGTCTATGGGCTCCAGTAACCACTTAACACCAGGTGGGCTCTGAGCTCGTCCACCCATCAAAGCAATAAAAAAAAAAAAAATGTTGCTATTATTTTGTCGATCCATCAGCTCCTAAGACAGCTTCTTCTTCTTTCGTCCACCACCAATAATTACGTAAATTTATAAAATGTTCCTCTCATTATGGAAGCCATTCGTGTAACGTATATTTTATTTCAGGTCCAAGCTGTCCACAGTCTCCTCCTACAGCAGTACCTAGCCGGGGGCCGGAAGGGCAGTCTCCAGGACCAGCTGAAGATGCAGCAGCAGTACACAGCCTCTCTGGCGGGCCTGCCGGGCCTGGCTCAAGTGGCCCTCTTCTCTCAGGGGTGAGTCTCCTCAACAAACCGTTTAACTAATAACTAGTTTTATTGCGTAAATATCCTAATTAAGCAGAGCAGAGCAGTCCCTGGGCTACGTAAGTTCCTTTACCTTGAAACACGAGGTCTTAATCTCAATTATTGTCTCAAGTATTGTATATCGGCTGCCTCAATACATTTTATTTAACTAAGCTCTTGACTCTTATTTTTCTTCTTGTCCTTATCCCACTCTGTGATAACGACAGAATGTCTTCTTATTCCATTAAGGCCGTCGTCATCTCTGGACTCCACTCCTCTTTTGTATGTCCTCTTATACACAGTCCATCCAAGTCTTGATCAAACACATATCTATTGCTTCTAAACCCTAGACTCTTCTTTTTCTTCTTGCCCTTATCCCACTCTGTAATTGGGACAGCATGTCCGCTTATTCCATTCAATACATCGTCATCTCTGCACTCCACTCTTCTCTTGCATATCCTCTTACACACAGTCGATCCAAGTCTTTTTAGAACAACCCCCTAATCCCATTATCATCTACTTTCATACCTAAAGTCTTTGAGATCATTCATGAGTGCTAAGTCAAGATCACGATAATCTGATTGTAACATTTCTCGCTCGCAGCGGGCCTCCGTTTCCGCTTTACCCAACGATGCTGTACCCACCGGATCTGCTACTTGAGCAAAGTCTCATTCAGGGACACGGCCTGCACCCCGGGATGGACAAGGAAGCCGAAATGATCGCTAAATCGTGAGTGTTTAGTAGGTTTTCAAAAACAACGTGCAATTATTTTAAGCGGGCCATAACAAAAATTGGAAAGCGGTAGCTTGTGTTAAATTTATTTATGGCACCATGGATATGGCATGGCATCTTTAAGCATTAGGAGGATGTTTCAACTGTATTCTATAACGGTGTCTCCTCGTCCAAACCGGAATACATGCTTCGTGGCATAAATAGGTAGATCGGTGATACCTACCCGAGCTGACTCCCATTACACTACACCTTACTGAAACTTCTGAAAGAAAAAAAAAACAAGTTTTATATGTATTTGCAAAAGACTTAAGAAAAAACCATCCGAATTATTACCATGAACTCATTAATATTCATTAATTTATTGGCATTCCAGTCGTCGGACGCACACGGCCCGCGGTCCACACATGCGCGTACTGAAGGACGAGCCCATCCCCGAGGGCTACCTGCGATTCAGATTCAACGAGGACTGCGCTTATCAAAACTGCGGATACAGGTAAGCAACTAAATCTACGAAGCATGCACAATTACAACTTAACTAGTGTTCGAAACATTAAATAAAGACGTAACAATACAAAAATCAATTGGATACGCTTACATCGATCCTTTGTAGGCATGTTTTGACATTGTCAATTATTATTAGCTATAATCGTGTTAATAAGGCCTGCCGTCTTGTATGGATCAGCTTGTTGGACAAAGAAAGTGGCGGATGAAAGGCGATTGCATGCAGCAGAGATGCGAATGTTGCGATGGATGTGTGGAGTAACGAGAATGGATAGAATACGGAATGAATATGTTAGAGGAAGTCTGAAAGTGGCACCTGTGACAGAGAAGCTGAGGAGTGCACGTTTGGGATGGTATGGACATGTGATGAGACGGAATGAAAATGAGGTTGTTAAGAGAGTGTTAACTATGAATGTGGAAGGATTTAGAGGAAGAGGTAGACCTAAGAAGAAATGGATGGATTGTGTGAAAGACGATATGGGTAGGAGGGGAGTGAGCGAAGAAATGGTATATGATAGAAGAGTATGGAAGGAGAAAACATGTTGCGCCGACTCCAGGTGACTGGGAGAAGGATAATGATGATGATGAATCGTGTTCAAAGCTAAATGGTTTTTTTTTAAACAAGTATCTATTCACTTATGTTCATTCATTTATTCAGCGACATCTATAATTGATCATTTAAAACAGTAAAATGTTACAATTTATGTTCGATACCAGCAAATACGTTGCAATGGAGATGAAATAATTCAATATAGTAGTATCAAAAAAAATGTAATACTAACAACATGAAAATACTTTGAAACAACTCTAAAAACATAAAGGTCGAGAGATGGCGCTGATTTAAGAAACTACAAAAACTACCGTGAACTCATAAAATTTTGATATGTACTAAATAATTATTAACAGGGAACATCAAACTCACTTCCACTGCACTCGCAAGGACTGCGGATATTCCTTCTGTGACAAGACCAGATTCGTGCAGCACACCGCCAGACATGAGAGGTAGGTCATAAAAAATCAATATTGTTAGCGTTACTGATGAAGTTTTTTTTTTAACAATAATTAATTGAGTTCCTCTTACATAAGTAATACATAATATAAAAACAAATGGCATAGCTGCAATAAATCTACCAAGTCACATAATTACACATAGATTGTGGCATTTTGACGAGAGCATCAGAACTACCTACTGATGGTATGACATCTTGTGAGTCCACACGGGTAGGTACCACCACCCTGCCTATTTCTATTCCTATTTCCTATTTCAAAATTAATAATGATAATTCCTCAATTGATTTTCATTTATAATAATTCATTTTCGCAGATTGGACACGTTGATGGGAGGTGATTTCCAGCAATACAGAGCCAACGTCTATTGTCAGAGGCCGGAGTGTCCGCATGCTTCCACGTTCGGTGCGATTTGCTTTAATTAATTAACTAAAGTGAACAAATGTGCTTACGGCCTACGCAATAATATCCCGCTAATTGGAGACCTAAGGAACCTAATCAATGTCTCAACGATAATCAATTATTCAACTTAATAAATGACTTTTGCGTGTCTTAAAGTTTCGATAAAAAAAACATGATAAATGATTAAGTTGATTAATCTAAAATGTTATTTAGAATTTTAATTGATTTGTGCAAAAATAAATTTTCCAACTTAAAGACGGTATTTTGTGATATTGAGGCGTCACTGGAAATGTCAAAATCTGATGGCGAGTGGTTACCGTCGCTCATGGACTTAAGCAATGTCAGAGGCAGAGCCAAGCCGCCGCCTACCGTTTTCTTTTTTGTCATTTACACCCTCAACTTCGTACACAACAGGAATCATTTATTAACAAATATATTTTCTAGGTACAGGCCAGAACAAGGCATCGCATTTCCACTGTCTCAAGTGCGACTTCGTTTGCACGGACACAAACAAAGTGGTCGCTCATCGTCGCCAGCACCAGAAGCTCGATTCCATTCAAGCGGCAGGCTTCGAGAAATTTCCGCCCAGCAAAGGTAAAACTAATAATCAATATAGCTTTAACTATGGCTTCATCATGAAGTTTTTTTATTATTGCTTAGATGAAGCCTTGTTACTGAAGCCCATAGACATCTACAACGTAAATTGTTGATTGACCCACCTTGAGATATAAGTTCTAGGGTCTCAGTATAGTTACAACGGCTGCCCCACCCTTCAAACCGAAACGCATTATTGCTTCACGGCAGAAATAGGCAGGGTGGTGGTACCTACCCGTGCGGACTCACAAGAGGTGCTATTAACAGTAATTACGCAAATTATAATTATGCGGGTTTGATTTCTATTACACGATGTTTTCAATCGTGAACATTTGTTGAGTTCATATTTCCTTAGAAAAATTGGTACCCGTCTGCGAGATTCGAACACCGATGCATCGCTCAATGCATCGATCAAATCGCGCACGTGAAGTCGTCGTGGCCTAAAGGATAAGACGTCCGGTGCATTCGTATCTAGCGATGCACCGGTGTTCGAATCCCGCAGGCGGGTACCAATTTTTCTAATGAAATACGTACTTAACAAATGTTCACGATTGATTTCCACGGTGAAGGAATAACATCGTGTAATAAAAATCAAACCCGCAAAATTATAATTTGCGTAATTACTGGTGGTAGGACCTCTTGGGAGTCCGCACGGGTAGGTACCACCGCCCCGCCTATTTCTGCCGTGAAGCCGTAATGCGTTTCGGTTGGAAGGGTGAGGCAGCCGTTGTAACTATACTGAGACCTTAGAACTTATATCTCAAGGTGTGTGGCGCATTTACGCTGTATATGTCTATGGGCTCCAGTAACCACTTAACACCAGGTGGGCTGTGAGCTCGTCCACACATCTAAGGCATAAAAAAAAAAAAACCAATGCACCGGACGTCTTATCCCTTAGGCCACAACGACGTAGTAGTAAATTGATAGCTAAACATGATCTTTGTTCACAGGTTGTGGATACGAACCGCAATGTATTCACAGTAAGAAGCAAACCCACTATCACTGTCTTCAGTGCGGTTTCGCTGTGCTTGGCCTCTCCCAGATGACGTCACACAAGTACAAACATCAAGAAGCAAATCTAGGACCCTCGACCAGCGGCACCAACTGACCAAGAGGCATACTCACAAATTTGTATCTGAAACTAAATCGGAAAATTACACTGCACGTCTATCGCCAAAGTGACGATTACAAGTTTCGTACTAAAACAGTAACGAGAGTTTAGTAGTTTTTTTCTACTAATCTCCCAAAAAAAAACTTTTAGATTTATATGAGTGACTGTTTTACGTAGATGTGTGTGTGTCCCTCAATAAAATCGTGCCTTAGATGCAAATTAAATTATGGACCGAAAATAAGTGGCAAATCATGTGCCAAATAAAACCGTAAATCTTATGAATGTTAAAACATAAAGCAATTTATTATGACTTATATATGTATTGAAAACTAGTATTTACATGCCAAGTGTGTATTTAGGTAGTAAAGTATGGAAAACAAGCGTGTGTGTTATAGACTAACGCATGTTCTTATAAAATGTGTATTTCCTAAACCCTGACCAATCTTAGGTTAGTTTATATTGAGAAAAAATATTTATATTTATTATTACCCCCCCAATAAAAAAAGACATTTTTACGAATAGTATTATTAATGTAGACTTGTCGAAAAATTAGGGCAAATTTATTTTTTGGGTTAAAAACACCGGTTTGTGCCTGTACCGTTAATGTCATGACAATATTATGCATTTCCAGTAGATTCTGGTGGTAAATGATTACGTAGAAACATTTATTACTGTCAGAAACTATTGCAAATAATATTTAATAGTTCTTAGAATCCGCACACGAACAAGTGTAAACGTAAAAAAATTCTAAAAGTGATTTTAAGATTAAGAATCAAAAAGAGATACAAAAAATATATTTAATAGGAGAGCTATTTAATAATAATATTATAATTAAAAAGAAAATGTCAATTCTATAACAAAAATTCGATGTAAATAAGATTAGGATTATATAAAATATGTTAGAAAAAGGAATGTATTTGTTAAAAATAAAAAATAAAAAAACAAAATGGTATAAAATATTATGTGTAATCATACTGAACTAATGTACAGTGAAAAGAGAGTGCTAATTTTGGTAATTCATGAGGTAGCCATATAATGCCATAAATTCATTGTAAGTGTATCTTTTTTTTTTTTTAATTAGTTGTCTATGAAACAGTATTAGTCTCAATGAAACATCCTTCAGACCTTTTGCATTCCTATAATATTCCTAGCGCCCAGTTTAGTTCTTAGTGAAAATTAATTTTAACATTACATGTATCCCTCAACGTTTAAACTATAATTTTAAGATCGATTACTCTAAGCAATCCCATCTGAAACTGATCGCGTAAAAAACATAAAAACATCGGATAAGTTATTGAATATACGACCTTAAGCCGCTGGCGTGGGGATGTTTTTCCTTCGCAAATCACTTTTGAACTCTTAATTAGTAATCAGTATTTACTAGACTAAGCACTTCAGTTGTTCCTATTATTAAGTCACTTGCACTATTTTCTACCATAACTCACGTGTTGTTCTTGCATTGGCAACACAGACTCAAACCATCAATGTATATTGATTAAATAAGTAAGTTATTCAGTTTCTAAGCTGTCCACTTCCCAGTGTATTTTTTTTTTATTGTTCCTTCAATTTTCTTAATCGTTTCGTTGTAGTGCCATAACGTTATAGTCACAAATTATTCTCAATATATTTATAATAGATTTATTTGAAGACTCTTTCGAGCGTCTCAAGACGAAGTAAATGAATTTTTATTCTTTAAATAATGTAATTAATGTTTGAAATAGTTTTTTTTTTCCATAAAATCCAAAACACCTAAACTCATCAATTTGTCATTATTTGTCCCTTTATTAATAATCTTGATAGTTAAAAAAATTAATGCAACAAAAAGACAGACAATAATGATTGATATTTTTATAAAAATAATAGAACGTTAATTTTGTAGCTATTTGTATATTAAAAATAAAATGGTACGGCAAATGAAATTTGCAAACACACAGAATAAACCACGAGTCATCCATCATACATTTCTAACAAAAAAAAAACCTACCATAAACTCATATTTCGTAAATCAATACCCAATATATACGTTTTATAAATTGTTATATTTTGTTTTGTTAACTAATTTTACATTATTTTTTTTGTTTCGATCTATCTCTGTCTCTCTCTATCTCTATGCTATTTTCATTTGACTCCTCCCTTTGATAGTTTAATCGCATTAAGAGTACGTACGTAGCTTTAATTGTAGTATGTTTCTTGATTATTAATGCAATTACTGCAGTATTTTGTTCGCTGCGTCGAGAGATTGTGTTGCGAATGTGTGTTCGCGCAGACTACCCGCAGGATTCGTTTCCGTTTGTAAAATGAGCGGCTGTTTTTTTTTTGTATCACGAGATTACATTGGTTTAATATTATTTAGTTTTGTTTACCTCATGAGTTCTAGGAATTAAATGAGATTATCCTATGTGAATGTATTTTATTTTTGACGATTCTTATAAATCGACTAGCTGTACCCGTCCGCTTCGCTGGGATATTTAAAATTAACATTATTATTTCTCACCCCCACAAGGATTCTCATCATTAACACCCCCGCAACTGGTGTAGGGAATCCAACATTCATATAAATATTAGCCTATCCATTAAGCACATGTATTTTCTACACGGATACCAAGTTTCAAGTCAATCAGATGCATGGTTCAGAAGCTATAACGGAACATCGTAAAAACCACTATAGATTTATATAATAATATTAGTATAGATTAACACTGGTTGCACGCACGAAAAAGTGTCACGTTTCATGAGCTTGAGTGTGCAAGCGAGAGCGCGCAACAAGCGATAGAGAGGCACGATCGGCCCAAGCGTTGGCTTGTGACACATTTATCTCTCGTCTCACGTGACGTCAGAGCTAGCAATTCGAATAGTTCTGCTACTGACGTTATCACATAGAACTATCGTCCGTAAACCAACTTTACATAGAACAACTCATAAATTAAGTAAGTTGTTAATGTAGGACGATGTGTCAATACTATTGACTCAATAGTATAGCCATTCAACATCTGTATTACTATGCAAATACAAATAATGCTCTTCTTTTCATTCTTCAAATATCGTACAACGCTAAAAAGTATGTAGACCAAACAAGCTTGTTATCGAATACCCACAGAAATAGATGATTTCACAGTAGAAACAGAAATTTCGATTCTAATCGGAAATTATGAGTGCTGGGCCTATTATCAGGAAACACTTCAAGAAATAAATTAATTGACATGCACATAAGCGCATTACGTGGAAAGTCCGCTGAGCGGACTTTGGACTGGTGGTGCAATAATAAATTTTGATGCGCACTGGGGAGAGGTTAATAATAATTATAAAACCATAAAGAATTAGTATCTATGTTATACGAATATTGGAAAATTAAGGTTCCTTTTTTTAAAGTTTCCCAATTTGCTTTAGTGGTTCTGTCTGTGTTTTGTTTGAACAAATAGATAAATTAATTAATTCACAGTTTCCATTCCAGTTACAGATATTTAATTTTCAGCATATAACAGAGATTTACTGGTGGTAGGACCACTTGTGAGTCCGCACGGGTAGGTACCACCACCCTGCCTATTTCTGCCGTGAAGCAGTAATGCGCTTCGGTTTGAAGGGTGAGGCAGCCGTTGTAACTATTCGGAGACCTTAGAACTCATATCTCAAGGTGGGTGGCGGTATTTACATTGTAGATGTCTATAGGCTCCGGTAACCACTGTGGGCTGTGAACTCGTCCACCCATCTAAGCAATAAAAAAAAAAAAAAGTTAAGTAACAAATATATTAAATGTGTCATCTATGGTAACGAATAAGAAAAAACAATTTTCAAGATACTATTGACAGTTTACCTGGCAGTATGAAATGCTCAAATTGTTATTAGCTATCATAAAATATATAACAGCATTTTCGGTCCAGAGAATTAAGTAGATAACAGTGCAATATTCACAATTCACACGATCTATGTACTTAACAAAAACATTGCCATACGTTTTTTTAAGGCGCTTCTCTTCAAACCGATGTTGTTTACACTTTCACCATCTCGGAGACAACAATTTAGGCCGCCTAGTGGAAAGTGAGTATATGATGTGATTTCAAATGAGAGTTAATGCTAAACAGTGGCTAGGCCGTGCCTCTGGTGCCGTGTATGAACGAAGATGACTCATTATTAGAATGGCCTTATGATCTTTTTTTTATGATTGAAGGATTGCTGTGTGCTTATTGCGATTCCCGATCCTGCGGATCGAATGGTAAACAGTCAACGTCGCAAAAAACACGTCATTACAGATCCTTCCGATCGGGAGGATCCACCGGTAAGTGGATCCGGAAGAGATCTGTTATGGAATCCGGTGCTTGGAGTACCTAAAAGCACCGGTCATCGTTCACGTCGATCCCGTCGCTTGCGACGAAGTAAATTAACCCACAGACACAGCCCACTGAGTTTCTCGCCGGATCTTCTCAGTGGGTCCCGTTTCCTATCCGGTGGTAGATTCTGCGAAGCACTGCACTTGCTAGGGCCAGTGTCAGCAAAACTTCCGGCTTGAGCCCCGCGAGCTCACCTACTTAATACTACGCTGAAATGGTCTCTCAGGACCATCAGCTTAGGTAGGAAAAAAAGCGAGTTTTTTAACGTTCTCGATAGCGTAAAAGTTAATTCAAATTTACATGCAGTTGGAACGTTGCTGGCTTTGGAATAAGCTCCCCTCCACGGTGCTTGCCGAGCGCTATGACATGTGATTCTTCAAACGAGGCTTGTGGAGAATACTTAACGGTAGTCAGCTGCTTGTTTCTGCCCCTGGCATTGCTGAAGTCCATGGGCGACGATAACTATTCACCATCAGGTGGGCCATATGCACGTCTGCCCACAAGGTCAATAAAAAAAATTAAAAACTAAACACTATCCTAATTTTAATCTTTCGTAAATTAGTTGGATAATAATTGCAACTAGGGACTGGCAATAAATGATCTACATTTGATCTTCAACTAAATTAACTGTAACAAATGGCATCAATTTGTCTATCCCTAACATCCTGATTTTGATAGTGAATAAACTGACTTCTTTCAATGCGACTGAGTGTTGCATGCATTTAAATATGTATACTTGACGCATTTTTAAGTTATACATTTTCAAGCTTATTTATTTAAGGCTCTTCATTATTTTCTACTATACACGTCGAAAATCCAGACGCCTCGCCTCTGGTACTCCTTTTAAAGATTGATTTTATATTCATTAGTTACATAAGTGGTACATCAATGATTTAGGCGGCGATTTATGTCTCTAACTAGAATTGCTGTTGTCCACGAGCGACTACTAACAAACAGGCGAGCCGTACATGCGTAAATTTCAAAAATACATTAAGTAGAAGTAGAAAGAGTTAAATTTTTTTTCAATATTGAAAGACACGTTATTTCAAAACCACAAAAATGTATCGATCAATTTATGCTTACAATTTAGATTTATAAAACCTTAATTGAATATAAAAATATATTTAATGATCGGCGTGTCTATGAGCGATGAATTATCAGGGCTTTCCAAGGCGAACCGGTCGCCGAATACTTGTCGTCTATGCTAACATACCCTTTAAAAGAAATAAATAGATACGCGCCATGCTATTAATAGATTTGACCACATGGACACAATTCTATGTCACGTTTGTTGTAACTTAAACTGATTACGTCCAGTGTATGTCATTCATTACATTCATGGGAATAATTTTCATGTTACTGATAGGTACCGAAGGGCAGAATTAGCGTGTCACGAGACAAGCAATCACTAGACATTTCGAGAAAATCTCCGACAATATCCAACACAGCTGTAATAAAAAGCAAAACCCGTGACCCAAACCTCGAGTCTCAAGTTGGATGGCAGCATTGGCCTTGTGAGGTCTATAGGCGTCGGACGCGGAACTACTTCTTAGCCGGTCAGCCGGGAGACTGTTCATCTACCTACCTATCTGAATTAATCAACGCCCAATATGCTAAAATAGTCGAAATCTTCAATAGAATTGAAAATCATTGCAATAACCAGGGTATGTATTAGAACGTACACCCCATAGCTTTTTAGACCGACTTCAAAAAAGGAGGAGGTTATCAATTCAGTTGTACTATTTTTAAGTGCGATGATTTTGACGATTCTTTTTTTTAATTGCTTAGGTGGGTGGAAGAGCTCACGGCCCACCTGGTGTTAACTAGTTACCGGAGCCCACAGACATCTACACCGCTAATACCGCCACCTACCTTGAGATATAAATTCTAAGATCTCAGTATAGTTACAAGAGCTGCCTCACCCTTCAAACCGAAACGCATTACTGCTTCACGGCAGAAATAGGCAAGGCGGTGGTACCTACCCGTGCGGATTCACAAGAGGTCCTACCAGCAGTAAAAGCTGCTGAAGCTTTGAAAGCTGCTACTTCTAACGTGGCCTCATCTAAATTATATGAAAATCTGACCAGTAGTTTTCGCATTGTCCTTATCAATACATATTGACTGCCGACTACATTGCTCTCTCAGGATGAGTCCGTGAGCTCACTTACTGGTCCGCGCGATGTGGGAATAGCCCCTTAGGCTACCATCGATTAGGTAGAGGAAAAAATAAATTGATGAAATTCTCCTATTCTTCCCGTTGAAGGCAATGTTATTTTTTTTTATTAAAATTTCATATTATGTTCCTAGTTATCGATTTGAGAATTAAATCTTCTTTAAGTTTTGATTTTTTTTGTGTTCTGATATATTAATAGAGCAGTGCCTGTTACTGGATTAAATAAGAGATAAGAGAATTATATTCTGGGGTGACAACTTCAAGGACCTTAACATATTGACGATTTATGTTTTAAAAATAAAAACATATTCAATTCAGGCTCCCCAAGCGTTTTATAATGACCTTTATATTCGACGCGATAAAGCGCACTTTAGATCGACCAAAAATAATCTAGAACTTTTCAGCGCACTACGACTATCCATAAAAGACACGGATTATATTATTATGCCAACGTCACGCTATTACGATAACGATAATCGATTTATCTAATACGTTTGGTGGAACTTGTACTCAATTTCAGTACGTTGAATGACATGCAGAGAGGAAATATAGGTTCAACTCATTCTGCGACCAATAAACTGTTTTCTGAGTAGGTAAATCTGAAAACAATGAGGAGAGTCTAAATTTGAATTTAGACAAGAAACCCTTTTTTTAGGGAATCGAGTTTTGACAAGAAACCCCCCAGTCTAAGAAATTGTCTATACCAAAAGTCGTTCTACACCCGAACAATTTTTCCAAAACAAATGACCACATTACAAGACAGCAACTGGCATCATTAAAACTGCTTTGCTTAAACGACGACCCCGAAAACTCTATCCGAAACATATAAAAATAGTTTTAATAAATGTTATAACTTTATAATTTTAATAAAGTAATAAAAATT